TTTATGTGTGTTGATCTTATATCCTTGCTCCAACTGTGAACTATCTCCATTAGCTTTTCTCATGGATTCCTTACAAGATCCCGTTCTCTACAAATAGAGATAGTTTTACTTCTTCCTTTTCATTCTGGATACTCTTTACTCTTTTTTTCTTGCCTTGTAGCCCTCACTCAAACCTGTACTACAATCCTGAAGGAAGGTGGTGAGAGTAGACATCCTCATCTTATTCCTGATCTTAGGGAAAGATTTCTATTATTTTCCATTAAGTGTGATGTTAGGCATGGGGTTTTTGTAGCTGTCTTTTTTCATGCGAGGAGATTTCTTTCTATTCCTACTTTGTTTTTCGGTTTTATTTTTTTATGAAAACACAGTGGATTTTTTTCAAATGCTTTTTCTGTGCCTATTGAGGCAACCATGTGGTTTTCTTGTCCTTTATTCTATTATATGCTATTTTACGTTGATTGTTTTTATCTGCTGACCCAACCTTAAATTCCTAGGATAAATCTTATCTGGTCACATATAACAATTTGTTTGTGTTACTGGATTAGATTTTACTGGATTAGATTTGCTAATATTTTGTTGAGGATCTTTTCATTTGTATTCATATTGCTGAAATTATATAAACTTTTGGTGTCTTCCACCCTATGACTTTCCTCCCAAATGAGTTAAATTCTTAGGCAGAGCAGAGCAAAGACAAAACATACGTCACAAAAGTCAATGGAGTTTTTAATATCCAAACTGTAGTCTGTCCATGAGGGCATCAGTAAGTAACTCCCACATATTATTTATAACCCAGTTCTCATATATGGAGTTCCATTTCAACACAAGATCCTTCAGTGGGTTTCTTTTCCCCACTAAGGTTTATCTGCATGACTGAACTACCTTCAACGCATTGGACTCTTTCCCAGGAGGAAAGAGAAAGGCACATCTTTATTCTGCACCCTTCAAAACAGATTTTCGTTTTGGTATTTTGGGGATATTTGCTGTTGCAAATGCACAAAAGACAAAATCCACAGAATACCATTTACACAAAAGTTTTTAGAGAAATAAAACCTAGTGAAAATGCCAGGACACCTTACTGGGTTGTTATATTTTAAAGCTCTCATACTTCAGGGTTATAGGCCACATCTGAGTCAAGACTAGACAGAAAATTAGAAACCTAACGATCTGCACTTAAACTAGGATTTTACTAAAATTATTTTACAGTAACCGGGAGCACTTGACCTGAGTAGTCATCATTAATAAGACCACTGAAGAGTGGGAAAAGCAAGAGAATCCTGTTAATTTAGAAGATGACCCTTAACCATTCCTCCCAAAGCGTATTAGGGTAAATAATAATGACGATAAAGGAGATCTGTCATGAACACTCCTTTATTCTTCATGTTCCCTATTGTACTGAGAGTGCTTTGAGGGCACAATATGTCTTGTTTCTACGATTCGAAATGCCCAGGGAAGTACAAGTGCACATCAGGGACCCCCAGAGCTTTTTTACTGAATGGACAGGTTGTTGAGTCGAAGGAGCTCACCAAAAATAAGTGGAGGACAGCCTGCCGTAGCTCGGGACAACTGTCTTTGGAAAATGAATGGCTCTTCACTAGCCAGTCTGTTGGTCTATTTTACTGCAAGTTTACAAAAGGAAGCTCAGCTTCTATTTCCCAAATCTGGACACAAAATCGTCATCTTCTCATAGTTACTAACTGCTAAGTAGAAGTTATCCTGAAATAAAGTTACCCAAAACAGGAAAAGTTTTATTAGCCTTTGATCAAGATGAGTACCTCTAGGTACAGATGAGATGAATATTTATAATTTTATTAGACTCAGTTGCTTCAGGCAATAAACTTAATTGCTGAAATTCAACTTCAATTTCTACAGCCTGAGAGAGATGCTTTTTGACTAGACCATTCTTGAACAGAAACATTAAAATCTTCGATTCCGTGCTACTGCTCTCTATGTATGAACTTCCAGGAAAATAAAAATGTATATGATAAAATGTATTATTCTCCTTTTTTATTAAAACGATTCCCTTTATATAAGGCATTTTAGTTATTAAATCAGTTTCCATAATCCATGACCTTTTTACAGATAATACATCCAAAGCTAAATTGTCTTTAAAAATGTTTGTCAATTTCACGCTTCCTGCTGGCAACTTCCTACCTCGTGCCACAGTCACCTCTGAACCTGCCTCATCTCTCCTGTCAGAGCCAGAGTCACTGAGGGCGAGCAGTTAGTTGTGTGTGGTGTGTTCCTTTTGTTCCTTGACCCTATCTGTCCTCCCGGCTGGGAAGAGTGCCCACAGACACCTGCGCCAGCAACAAAGGAGGGACGACTCTGCTGGGGGCAGATGGGGCCATCACTGCACTCACAGACCACACTTGCACATAGGTAAGCTGAGCTCTGAGGCTTGCACACCCCTAAGATGATCTACTCCTCACTCTGTTCAAGCCATGAATGGTAACTGTCAGGCCAGAGAGTGGAGCTCAGCAGCACATAAAAAGGGAGCAAATTCTTTTCCATTTGGATATTAAAAATTCTTTTCCACTTGGATTGTATAAAAAATCACACTATTCAGCTGACAGCTGAGGATGAGGTTCCATCCCACTGTTCTGCGACACTCAACGTGGGCTCTGACTTTTTAGGAACTTCATAACCTCTTCCCACTAACTACACTGTTATTCTCACTGGTCAAAGCCAGAGGAGAACCTTATCTCTTTCCATTGTTTTCCCAGTTCTTGTGGTTTTTCTATACTATGTCACTGTTTTTGTTTTGTTTGGTTTTGTTTGGTTTTGGTTTTGGTTTTGGTTTTTAAGTTTATTTGACAGAGAGAGAAACAGTGGGAGATGGAAGACAAGCAGGGGTTGTAGGAGAGGAAGAAGCAGGCTTCCCACTGAGCAGGGAGTCTGATGCGGGGCTCGATCCCAGGATCATGACCTGAGTCGAAGGCAGATGCTTAACGACTGAGCCACCCAGGCAAACCTCCCGCCCCCCACCCCCCGCTTTTTGCCACTGTTCTAAATAGAATAAAAAAAAAAACTTACTGGGTGTTGTATCTAACTGATGAATCACTAAATTCTACACCCGAAATTAATATTACACTGTATGTCAGCCAACTTGAATTTAAATAAAAACTTTAAAAAATAATTAAAAAATCTACTCATATCACAAAAACATGGATGTCCAGAAATGCCTAGAAAACATACCTGAAGTCATACATTAGAGACTGAGCTGTTCCCCTCCCTCTCCCATGGGCTGTATGAGCTACAGACTTCTCCCAGCGCTGGAGGGAACCAACTGTGCTCGTCTGCATTCCTGCGGCAGCTGCTGGAGGCCCACTCCGCACATGCAGAGGGAGCAGGAACAGCGAGCCACAGCTAAGCCTTTCTGCCAACACATCATGGGGCCCAACCCTTTATCCACACTAAGGCCCAGTTAGAAAGCAGGACCACCATATACACTATGGAGTATGATGCCTCCATCAGAAAGGATGAACACCCAACTTTTGTATCAACATGGGTGGGACTGGAAGAGATTATGCTGAGTGAAATAAGTCAAGCAGAGAGAGTCAATTATCATATGGTTTCACTTACTTGTGTGGCATAACAAATAGCATGGAGGACATGGGGAGTTAGGAGAAGGCAGTTGGGGGAAATTGGAAGGGGAGGTGAACCATGAGAGACTATGGACTCTGAAAAACAATCTGAGGGTTTTGAAGGGGTGGGGGTGGGAGGTTGGGGGAGCCAGGTGGCGGGTATTGGAGAAGGCACGGATTGCATGGAGCACTGGGTGTGGTACAAAAACAATGAATACTGTTACGCTGAAAATAAATTTAAAAAATTAAAAAAAAAAAAAGAAAAGAAAGCAGGACCACCACTTTGGCACAAATTTGGTATCCATTATACGATGCCAAGACTGTCTTCACGAGAAAGAACCTCGGGACCCTGCTTCACTGTATTAACCTGCACCTGTAACTCCCAGGACCAACACGGAGCTTCCCGTCCCCTCTACCATCTAAACGATGAGCATCGGCGTTTACCATTTACAAGGGCACGCTGCGATCTGCCCCATTTCCTCTGAAAAATAAGAACTCATAATCTTATTGCCCATCATCTTTTAGAAAAATGTCACCGTTTTAACAGTTACTATGCTTCTCACCCTATTTTGAACATGTCCTCGTGGGCTGTCTCTAAATCTCCAGCGTCTGTAGGATGTTTTATGTGTCGGGGATATAAGAAATGATCAAAGAATCTAGGTACAAATAGCTGAAAAGGTAGTAAAGAGTCCATGAATTATCTCGGACCGAACACAGCCAGATGAGTGTCACGTACCAGAGCAGGAATTCTACCCAAGACCACAAGAGGGTTTCTCCCAAACAGCTTTAAATATCCACAGCTCATACAGTTTACAATTTAAACAATCAAAAGGAAAAAATACCTTCCAAACTTTATTTGTATTTCAATTTAATTCTTGGTGACAAGGGGGGAAACAAAGGTATAAACAATTTGATGCTTAAGTAGTCTGGTATGCTTTTACTCTGCTACTTTTATGGAGAATAACTCACAGCCCTGAAGGGTGTGGGGGGGTCTTCAGATCCTGACCTTCCAAGGGTAGCTTGGAGCACTGAACACACCTCAGAGCAGGGCCCAGCCTACCGCCCAACACGTACTCACTTGCTCTAAGAAAATGTAAGTCCTTTCTTCTTGTAAATGTAAATCTATATTTACCATTGGGTGATTTCTGCATTTGACCCCTGATTAATATACAATTTGTGAAGGTGACACCTGCTTTGATTTAGCCTTTCCTCAATTGTTATAAAAATACCAAGTTTCATTCAGCTTGATTGCCAAGTGAGAGGGCACATGTGGAGACACTTCTCAGGGGTCACTGTGGCTCACCTAGCAGACAGCCCTCACTGGTGATTACAGGCACACTCGGACAAAAGGGCTGCTTCTACCTTGATTGTCACTTGCTGGGAAACCATGAATACGACAAGGAGCTTCTTTCAGCCTCATGAACCCTTCTCGTGTTTGCAACCTGACACTTCTGATCCATGTCGGGAGTTGGGGGTGGGGGGACGATGTTCTTTCTGACACTTACCTAAAATTGTCCCCAACATAAGGGATTTGACAGCATTGAATTCTGTTCCTGACGACAGGACGACTTGTCTCCTTGAATTCTGGTTAACCTATTAAATATTCCACGAGAAGCAAACATCAAAATGGCGAGTAATTTTGGTGATAAGAGAATGGGAGTCTGAGGGAGATCAAGGAAAACGGTAAAAATGAGCCATATGTTCGGCTGTCACAAAGGAGAAACAGTTTCACAGCAACTGTTCTAATACCTCGGATTTCACACGACCCCATTGCCTATTCTTTCCCCTTTATTTGTCTTCATGGTTTAGGGATCTGTAATTGGTAGGATCCGCAAAGAAATGCAATAAGCTATTTCAAACCTTAAAGCTTTTGCTTATTTCAAACAGAAATTAGTAACACAAGCCAAAAAAGGTATTACTGGCACAGATTCAATATATAAAGGTTATTCTTCAAAACCCAGTGACAATGAATAATTCAAACACTGAGGCTTTTAAAAAATGTATTCCCACTTTAAGCAAAATCTTGCTTTTCCCCTTGTGTTAACATTTCTGCCACCTTTGCTCTTTTGTAGTCAGATGGAAATAGGCTCTTATTCTCGTCAGAATGTCTCCAGTAATCGCTGGGAAAAAGTGGGCAACATTCCCCTATGGAGGAGGACAGCTTGGCATTTTCACGGGCAAATATTAACAAGAACCATGTCAGCCTCTTGCTAAACAAACGAATGACTCTGCTGAAGAAAACACTGACTGCGTTTTCTGTCCCCAGGACTTTCTGGGAAGACTGCTGAACGTGTATCTCTTTTACTAGGATTTATTCTCAAAGCCTTGCTGGAGGTCATACACTGAATGCCACAGCTTTGGTTACTGTTGCTGCTGTGACTCTACCCCTTACCTCTACAGAGACCACCGCCGCTTCTCTGTGAATCGTCACCTGGTGAAGCCGCCCATCGGCGAAGTTTTTAAAACCAAAGTTAAAAACGTCAGGTTCTTGGTGCCTGTCCAGCTTATACCTGATCTGCAAACTTCCTAAACAAGACCAAAAAAATGGCATTTTTAACTAAAATGGAATTTTATAAAAACCGTCAATACAGGTTCTAAAGCACACATTGTTTTTGTTTATTTCCTATAATTTGACTTTATTGAGCATTTGCTTAAGGACCCCAAGAGTCTCTATTCCTGGAAGAGTGATCATTTATGTGCTATTCCAGGCTGAATTCAGAATCTGATTACACTATTTTAAAAGTCAAGCCCAAATGGTCTTTCCCCAAGTTCTTCCATTTTCCTTAACAAAAGGAAAAAAATTCTAAGTTAAGCATATAGGAACTCGGAGCTGGGCTCGAAGTTAATTATTCATGGGATATTCATAGCATTTAATGGTAAAACCTCAAGCAATATTGCATTAACATTCAGGTTCTATAAGCATCACTTCTTTTAATGTGACTTATTTTAATGCATTTTAATGTATTGCTGACATTTGCATAATGAATTTTTTTGCACAACTAGAATTTTTTTCCTAATGTTTCTGCCATAATCAAGAAACAAAAGAAAGACCAATGATTTGCTACAACATCTAAATCTGCTGATGTCCTTCACAGGGATGCCCACTGCCCCATGACCCCGTACTGCCTGGAACAGATCTTCCAGAAAGTAGGTCTCTGCCCTTCTGCTCTGTGAAGTGAGGTCACAGCTTGGGCTAATGCTCCATCTTGGAAAGACTTGGTGGCCATGAGTTGGGTACCTCTCATCCCACTTTTCTTCGTATGTAGACATTGCCATGAATGGCTTCCCAGCCACCAATGAGTAAAGAACAATCCTATTCATGTGATGCATAGGAATCATGGGTTTTAGATAGTTTAATATACTTCTTTACTTTGCTAAGAAGGAGGAGGAAATATTTTCCATGTACAAAGTGAGCTATCTTATTTCAAAGTGAATTACAGAACTAAGTTATTCACGTACAGAAGGAAAGACTTCCCAGAATAGCAAGATGCCTAGCGGCACATCAAATACCTAAAATGATCAAACTTCCATGGGGGAAATGTATCTTAAATGTAATCATGGAAATGTGAACTTTAGTGATAAACACTTGAGGGTTATCATGAACTAGTGTAACAAGCATGGCAAGCCATGAAATTGTGTTTCCTTCTTGTAGTTAAACACCTAAAGGGTCCCCCTCATTGTGGTCCTTATTTTCTAATTCAGCCTCCTCGTTCTTATAGTCTCGACACTCACCATTGGGGGCGAGGATCACAGACAGGTACTCCTCGTAGAAGGAGCTCACATAGAGGAGTAAGCTGGGCGTCCCTGTGGTCCGGAAGCTCAGTGTGGCCACTTCTCCAGCCAGCGTCAGACCCTCATGAAGTAAAGCTGCAAAGGAGCTTGAGTTCTTGCTGGCAGTGTAGTTAGAATGTTCCTGAAAGTCGTAGATAACGGACGAGCCAGTTCCAAAATATGCAGAAATCTCTGGAATGACACTCATTTTTGTTATGTTAGCATGAAGTCAAGGTGAGGCTCTTCTCTATGTGCATTTACACACTATCTCTAACCCTTAGTCTATCAAGAGAGAACGTGAGAATGTCATGCTTTGTTGTTGTTTTTTTTAAATTCAGAAATATTTGATTAAAAAGGTAACCAAGTATGGATAAAAAGATAACTTATCCCTGTGTATATTCGCATGACATCAAACCAAGTAACGGTATTTTATTATAGCCCACAAAATGCTTCATCTCAGAGTTACACAGCATTAAATGCCGAGTGTAAACATACACTTAGAGTTATTGTCTGTCTCAGTGTCGCGTGAATGATGCTGAATCCAACAGAAGTCATCACAAGCTTCTCAAGAACAGAATCATAAATGGACAAATTTGGGAGAGAAACAAGTCTCCTTTAGCTGATCACAGAGAACTACCTTATCCTTTCATAGAGAAAGGGTAAAATGCCAGAAACACAAGGCAAAAACAGCCAAATAGGGTGCCTGCCTCTCCCTGTCCTGCCCAGGGCACACTCACCGCTCTCGCAGAATGGCCCGTCATATGCAGAGAAGGCACAGTCGCAGACGATGCCCCTGGGTCTCTCCCTACATCTCCCTCCATTGAGGCACAGGTGTCCGTAGCTGCCGCAGTGTCCCGGGCAGCCTGGGTCCACGCCTGGCGTCATCGTGGCCCTTTCTTCCAGGTCCAGGGCCAGCCCGTTCAACCGCAGCGACCGAATGCACCCCAGGAAGCCTCTCTGTCTGGTGGCCGTCCCGCCTACAAGGGAAACAACTACAGCTGTGCCCTGGGGTTCTCGGTGGCGTTTCCACCATACGTCCAACTGCGGGCCGACCGATCGCATCAGAAAAGGGACCCGCCGGAAGCTTTACAAACACATGCGATTTTGAAAACCTAGGCTGTGACCTCATACTAAGAATCATCAAACGGTATCGAGTAAACCACAGACAGAAATATTTTTGAAGTTTAGCTTCATAAATATTTATTCTAAAAAGTATTTCTTCAAGTTCTATTTAGAAAGATTTGCACATTTTTAAGTCAGTTCCTTCATTAAAAAAAAAAAAAAAGACCATCTCTCCTTTTTAAAGTTTAAGTGTATAAACTGTGATGGGCATGATAAAGTTAGATAGTTGAAAATCTTTGCAATATAATATATATTACAAATTTGTAACATGCAAATATATACATTGTATAGGGTTAATATGTAATATACATTATAATTTATATATGCATCTGTCATACATATTTTGTTACTTATTTATTATACACTTGTTATATATAATACATATATTATATATAATAACAAATTATATATGTAATACCATCCTTTCTTAGAAATGCTCCCATTAACAATGCCATGAAAAAGGAATTGAGGACCAGGCAAAGAAAGAAATTAGGGGTAACATTAAAACCCAGGCTCAGGGCACCTGGGGGGCTCAGTGGGTTAAGCTTCTGCCTTCAGATCAGGTCATGATCCCAGGATCCTGGGATCGAGTCCCGCATCGGATTCTCTGCTCAGCAGGGGGCCTGCTTTCCGGCCCCCTCTGCCTGCCTCTCTGCCTACTTGTGATCTCTCTCTCTCTCTCTCTGTGTCAAATAAATAAATAAAATATTTAAAAAAGAATAATAATACCCAGGCTCAGGCCTGCCTCACTCCAGCCTGCCAGCTCTGAGGTCAGGAGGGTAACAGTCACTGAACACTGAGTAGCTCTCTCTCTAACATGCCTCACACGAGCCTAATCTCCAGTCTGGGGGCCTTGGAGTTTTCCGTGTCATGGGTTGTACACACACACACACACACACACACACACACACACACACCTCCCTGCATAGCACAGCCTCCAGAAGCTGTAGGTGTCCTCTGGCAAAGCAGACTGTGGGCTAATCTGTGATTTAGATTAGTTCCTAATTGGACAAGCTCCTTATTTACTTGAAAACATATGAGAAATGACCAAGGAAGAGCTACCTCATTGATCTGCTTGCTTTCCAAATTAGAATGGATTGTCTGAAAAGTAATGTAGCAAAACTTATCTCTCCCTTTGAGAAAAAGAAAAAAAGTCTTACAAATAATAAGTGAGTACATGAAAAGGAAAACTTCCACTACCCAGAGCTTTCATCCCTGAAGCACCAGCAGCGAGAATGGAACCAGACTGGTTCTGACCCCGGTGTCTGCAAGGAGGGCGACACAGCCACGTGAGTCCTCCTGCAGTCTGTGTTAGAAGGGACACAGGAGAACTCGGGCACAGTCACACAGCAGATTCCCTGAGTGCATTGAGAAGTGAAGCCGGGAGTTCTGGATGAAATTTGCTAACCGTTTTATAAACAGCATTGATAAGAAGTCACTAAAGCGAACACAGGTCATCAGTACCGTTGAGGTCCAGCCTGGTAATCCACCCACTGGGGTCTGGGTTTCTCTTCTTTTTCAGTTTCTAGACTGTGTCACTCGCTCTCTCTGGACCTCCATTATCTCATCCGTGACCTTGGAAATCTATGGAAACCATGATTCTGAACAACACACTATGGAAACTGTATTAACAACCGTCTGTGGAAAGAGAGCCCGACTCTTGCTGGAGCGCTCAGTCCGCGGCGCCGACAGGAGCCGCGTGCACCTGCTGCCATCACAGCGGGTGCACACGACTCGTGACTTCTCTGTGTCCACCAGCACGGCGCAGCCAGAGGGCAGCCACACTCACCCACGAAGAGCTGGCTGTTGAGCTGCAGGCGGGCATGGCCGTCTGTGGGCGCAGCTTGCGTCTTGCTGGGGAGCTGGTCCACTTGAAGGGTCGCCTCCTTCACATTCCTCTCAGCCCTCACGTGGTGCCACCGGTTGTCGTTAAAGGCAGTGGGAGACCGCACTGTGACCTCACATCGCCCGTTCCCCACATCGAAGGAAAAGGTCACTTCTGCAGGAGCTGCAAACACAGAGAGGAGAGTAGCTTGGTTCATTC